AATATGGCGAGAATTGATATTCGATTACTGATCGCCGTCTGGGCCTTAATGTCAGTGGTTGTAGTTGTAGTCACGGCCCGGATTGGCCTTTAGCCGGTTGCCAATGGCCAAGATCTGTCGCTGTTTGCCTGTCGTCGTCGCCGGACGACCTGTAGCTGCTCCCGTTGTAAATGTTGTCGCCATCGTCACAGACGACATCACACATTTTTGCAGGCTTCGTTTTGGTTTTGATCAGTGGTGCAACTGCAACCTGGTGCATATTCGCAGTCCTCGTTGTCGTCTGCAGGCCCCGAAAGGCCCTGATCCCCCTGGATTCCTGGACTCATGGACTCCCCCGCCCAATTCCTGATTTACGAGCCAGAACTACGATGCCAATACCGCGATGCCTTGGCCATGATCGTTGGCCAGGTCAGTTCCATTATTTTGCGGCCAATTCGCCATTGTTACAAATGCTAATTTTGATATTTTGTATTTAAATGCACGGGAGGCAGGCGCTGATCCCCAAGACAGCAGCAGCAGCAGCAACAATAACTGCAACTGCAACTGCAACATCAGCAGCTGCAGCAGCAGCCAGAAGCGAGCATAGAACTTTATGGTGCAGTGCAGCGTTTATCCTTAAAAATCTAAACCAGGGAATAGGTATGCGCAACTAAGTCGAAGACTTTGAGGCTTTTTGGAAAAGGTTTCAATACCATAAAAATGGCACAAAAAAACCTTTTTTTTAATTTTATTGTTTTATTTGCAGTATATTTTAAAATATTTATTCTATTTGTTTTTTTTGTGTTCTGTTATGCCAATATATTTCACGATAAAATAATATATTTCAAGATAAAATTTAATATTTTAAATATATTTTATTTTATATATTTACATAGGCTGAAGCTTAAAAATTTAAAATACATTTTTAAATCTTCATAACTTATTTTTATTTTTCTCCGACTTGAAATTTATATTTAGATCGAAATTTTTAGAGCAGGCATAACTCGCAGAGTATTCACTCTTCTCGAATAATACGCTTTCAGCACTTTGCACAACATTTCAGTATTTTTCTAGTTCATGCTGAAAATGTGGCATTGAATTTCATATTGCTCTCGCCCCGGCGATAGCCCCAGTGCTCTTTGCTCCGTAGTGCCAGCCCAATGTTTGGGACTTGGCCGCCGCGATCTCCGCCAAATCGCATTCACAATCGTAAGCGTCTTCGTCCTCGTCCTCATCGCCATCCCCACATCCTCGTCCCCATCCCCATCCTTCTGCTCCAGTCGATGGCTGTGTAATGGATGTTATGTTCTTGGCGGCGATCGCATGACAGGCGCATGTTGCAGCCGCTGGCATCCGCACCATTATGGCCAAGAGTCGCGAGCTGCAAGTTGCAAGTTGCTGGCGAGTTGCAACCCACCGTGGCCCAATGCAATGCACATTCCCCAAAAAGCGTGTAATCAATAAACAACAAGAGCCATCGCCATCGGAGCTTCCCTCTCGGTCGCACTATCTGGCCGTCTCGCTTCCTCGGGATCTCTGGATGGGCTGGGATGTTATGGGATGGCATAGGATGGTATAGGTATAGGGTATGGGTATGGGTATCGCCTGGACCTGTGGTATCTCCCATCTGGCCGTGTAACCTATGGGAATGCCGTGGCGATTGCGCTCGATTGTATCTGTTTCGCTCTGCTCCTCGCTTTTGGTTTTACCTTAGTTTTTGTCCCGGGATAATGATCCATTGTTTGCATCTTGAACTTGTTTTAAATGCGCTCTGGAGTCGCGGCTCCACGCGAAATATCCACTTCACTCCATCTTGTTTGCCGGCTGCCTCATCATCGTCAAGGCGTCGGCCATATCTGGAGCCTCAAGTGGCCGGAAAATTTACAGAATGGCATTTACATCAATTCGCTTAATTAAAAGTTATTTCTAAGCTTATTATAATAGGAATTTCGGGCATTGAGAATGGTTGCGAAAGGTCCTCAGAAGAGTAACAATAAAATAAAATCACTCTGTGATTTTAATTTAGAATTAAAAACCTATTGGTGAAAATTTTAAATTTATTTACATTAAAATTCATTAAAAGTAAGGGAAGTTTAAATTTTTAAATGTTAGACTGTATAGAAAATGTAATTCACATTAGTCGCAACGGATTGGTGCTATAAACATAATTTAAGTTTATTTCTAAATTTACTAATAATAAGATTCGAAAGCATATAAACAAAATTCAAATATTTTGTTATAAAAAAAACAACAACATATGATTTTTAATTCCAATGAATTCACTTAATTTAATCGAACATCTCCAAATCATCAGAAGTCTCAAGGTCCATCAAAAACTGTCCCAGCTTAAATCAAACCCAGTCCAGATTTGCATACAAATTTCGGGACCCAGTCTTTGGTATTCCACCTTCTGTGAAATGACCTTTCAGGGAATACCGAAATGTGTTAAGATATGCAGGGAGATGTCATCACGACCAGAACTGAAACGTTTTTGCATTTGGGGGCCAATAATTTCAGGAATTGACACAAACTAAATAAATCACTCACAAGGACAACACCCCCGTGTTCCCCCGGGAGGAATCCAGCCCGGATTTGGATTTGGAATCAGATTTGGGACCAGATTCGAATTCGGATTCGGGGATCGTGCAATACTTGTTGGCTGTCAGGATGGGCAACGTTTTCGGTAAGTTAAGCGAAAGATGCAGGGGCTGTATGAAGTCCGGCCTAAATGACCCATTGTGTTGCTGGCTCGCTGACTTGCTGGCTCCTAAACAATTGTTCTCCGCCTGACTGACATCGGGCTGGGATGCTGTCGTTGTTCTGGTTTTCGGTTTTGGGAAGAAACAATCGATCGTTGGATCTGAAAGCGATCCTGTCGCTGCGACAAATATCACGCATGAATATTTAAAAGTTTCCCTTTTCCTTTTCCGCATAAAAAACACAAAGGTTCGCCTTAATTTATGGCCGTCAGAGGGTCTCGATTTTGTGGAATATCTGGTTGGTCAGCCGGGGCAGCAGAAAACAATTCCTAGCAAATCAGTTATGAAGGGTCTTCAGCGGAGGAGCGTGTACTCGAGGGCATTTCGCCTGAGAGTTTAGCACGTTCGCAGTGATTTATGGCAGATAGCAGTCCTGCTGCGTTGATAACGCCCAGAGTCGCTTAGCGATCGCAATCTGTATAGTAAATCTCTGTGCCTTATCGGCGGCGAAGTCATTAAACGATTATCTTGCAATCGTTGAAAATTGTTTTATTATTAAAAGCTCGCCGGCCCGATGAGTTTAGGCCATTTGGTTGGTTTGGCGATAGGGATAAGCCGAGCCAGTTGTGTGTCATGCCGAAACTCTTCCTTCTGATAGCGACAATAATGACGATGATAATGATTGCGTTGGCGGATTTACGGCACAGACATGAGTCTTGCGTCGTAAATCAGTCGTTAGCTATCAATTCCGCTGATTGATTTACACGTTGTTTTTGATCGTTATTGATCATATTTTGTTCGTTACTTTTTTCTTCCCGATTAGATTAGTATTATTTATAGAACTTTTATAAGAAACATTGATAAGAAACCAAGCTTTCTATTGGATCAGGTTAGTTTCATTTCTCCGGGAAAGTTGTGGGTTTCAGGGCAAGCTATTTATTTATAGAACAGCCTTAAGATTTCATTTAGTTTGATTTAAATTTAATTATTAATATGCAACTGAGTTATAAAATGTTGCAATACAAAAAAATTCAGACTTCTTTGAATTTTTTTTCCATTTATTTTTGTTTCTTTTTTCCTTAGCACTTTTCATTAAATATTTTTATTGGAAGCCCAAAATAAAAATCAATCCCAATTTAAAACTCCATTCTAACACCCCATTAAATTCTGGTTTCATTTCATCTGCGGCAATTATTTTCCATTCAGCGATCATTTTGACTTTTGTGGACTTGTAGCAACTTAATCTGCATCTGCATAGCCAGAAGCTCCGCCACCCCGATCCCGATACCGATTTCGATCCGATCCACATGGTCTAGAGTCGTCGCGAACCATAATTTAAATTTTCATGCGCATGCGCTGTCAATTGAGTGCAGTCAGGAGCAGCAGCCATAATATCACAACAGCAACAAGTCTGTTTAATGGCAGCCACGAAGCTCGGGGATTCGGAGATCGCAGATCGGAGATCGGGGGAATAAAGATCGGAGATCGGTGGGGAAATTTAAATACAAACAACGGTCTGCAGACGAGCCCAGTGCGATGGCGCTAAATCAAACGATGAACACGAAATTGCCATAATGACGACACCAGCGGCCCTGCGATCTGCGATCCTCTGGGCCGACTCAAATTATATTGGTAAATTGCTAGCGCATGCGCCCCGAAAAAAAAATAAAACCGTTGAACACTTGTTGAGACCTCTGGAGCTACTTGCGAAATTACCATCTCCACCGTCTGAAATTATTGCACATGTTTGCCGTGATTCGCGCGGCACAGAAGCCAAAAACGTTCATCAAAAGTGCAAATTTGTGGCAGCTACTTGGCCCCAGGTTCCTTGGCTCTTCAAGGAGTTATGGCCAAGCCGAAATTCCACACAATGTCTCCACATATGCGGCAACTGATGGGCGAACAAAAGTCGCTTGGGTCACGATTTCGCTGAGGAGTCTAGGTGGAGTTTTTACTTTGGGGACGAGGAAGGGTTTAGGCTTGGGTTTGGGTTTCTTCCGAAGACCACATTCTACAGCAGTGAGTCATTCTTCTAAAAAGAAAAGGTTGTAGTCCGACTTCTTAAGATTGTATTATGAACTGATTGCGTATGATCATATTCAATTGCCGACGGCATTTTAAATGGTGGACTTGTCTTGATATTTTTCCACCGGGAACTAAAAATATTATGTTTTGAAAACTATTCTTAAAACAATCAAAAAATTTATATTTTTAAGACAAGAAAATATGTAAGAGCTTAAAAAAAGTTTAGAAAAGTTTAATTTAGACAGCCTTAGCTAAGAAATAAATATTTCCTTGATTTATCTTTCATAAGCAATTGAACTGCTGACAATAAGTACTTTCAGAGCATGTTTTAGCCCACAAAGATGAATAAAATTATTGTGATCCTATCAATAGTATGGTTGAGCAGTGCTCACTTTAACCAAGAACTTATAGCTCGAAAAAATGGAAAAAAAGAAGATGTTTCGTTGTACACCATTGAAGGAGTTATCCTGACGGCCAATAGAAATCTAAATGTGCCAAAAACATGGCTGCGTGATATAACACTGTCGATCGACAACGGAGAGATCAAGGGATTCGTGCGATTGGACGGACGCTTTCTGATATCTGGAGTGCAAAACGGTAGTCACATCCTGCAAATCGAACACCCGGACATATACTTCCAGCCAGTGAAGGTGGAAATAACCGGGAAGGGAAAATACCGGGCCCGCAAGGTTAACTACATCCAGCCGTCGATCATCAACCAAGTGCCGTATCCACTGCGTCTTCAGCCCCTCGTCCGTCGAAAGTATTTCAGAAATCGGGAGCAGTGGCGCATTATCGACGTCATTCTGAACCCCATGGTTCTGGTCATGGTGTTGCCGCTCCTACTTATGCTGCTTGTTCCCAAGATTATCAAAGATCCGGAGGCCAAGAAAGAGCTCGATAGCATACAGTTTCCAAAAATCAACGACATGCCGGATCTCAGCGACATGCTATCCTCTTTCCTTTCGGGCAAAAAGCGCATGGAGTCGGAAGAAAAGGAAATCGCAGAGAACACTTCCAAAAAGAAACATCCCAAATAATTTTCTTAAACTGAACTAACGCTATTGACCTTTAGTATTCCGTTTCCCCATTAATTAAAGAATGGCATCTTGGTAATTCCATAAAAACTTTTTTCTTTTATTTGATCACAATGTTTTCTTTTCCAATTTCATAACTCTTTGCCTAGGCAAATGGCAGCCCTAACAAGGGCTCGTGTATTCGGGTGTGGGGTTTCGTCCAGCCTCCATTCCACCCCGATCAGCTGGCAAGCCGCAGTCTTTCAAGGAATCCAAAGTGACGCATTTCTGTTTTGCATCCTGAAATGATAAGATGAAAGGGGTGAAATAAGTCAATGTATTATTGAAATTATTTCTTATCTATAAACTAGTTTAAATAGTGTATAAACTATGGTTAAAAAATTCAGGTAATGGAATAAAATCCATTATAACTGAACCATTTTGGGATCTTTAAGATTTAAAAAAAAGCTTTTTTTCCACTATGAAAAGTTTCCTGACACATTTCTAATTTCTAATTCTTTAGTTTTAGTTTAATGCATTCAATTTAGTCAATGTATTAATGAAATGATTTCTTATCTATCAACTAGTTGAAATAGTTTATAAACTATGGTTAAAAAATTCAGATAATGGATTAGAATCACTGAACCATTCTGGGATCTTTAAGATTTAAAAAATGTTTTTTTCCCTATGAAAAGTTTTCTAACATATTTCTGATATATTTCACACTATTTTCTTTAATACTAGTTTCAAATTCCTTAGTTTTAGATAATTACCTTGAAAAAGTAGGCCTTGCTGCTCGCTGAAGGGCCGGAGGAACTGGACGCGGCAGGAATCGTGTTGGGCCAAGATAACAACATCCCCCACTGCCGGGCGGCGAATCTCGGATCATTCCGTTCTCATCTGTACAGTCGTCATCACCACAAATCTTCCAGCTTCCTCGGCGGTTTCTTCTGTCCCCATTCGTTTCTTCTTTGTCCGGTTAATACAAAGTGTCGTCATGCCCGCCATCATTTTGCAGACAGATACATCCGATGGCTCCTTCCGTGGCACTTTGACTTGAATCTCGGTTCGCGAGGCCGAAGCCACCCCGAACCCAGAGCCCAAAACCCAAAACCCCGATTTGCGCAGAAGTTCGGATTTTCGGATTCGGGGGGCGGAGGCGAGGCGCTGGCAAACCAAAAAAAAGGTTGAAAATGCGTTTTGCTCGAAACAACGAAAACAAGGCAAACGATTCGGTTTCGCTTTTCGTCGCGGCTCGCGGACTTAGGCGGTCTTCTCCTTCTTCACGCAGAATTGTCGCAGGGCCGCCAGCGAATTTCCGCCCGAGCTGAGGTTCTCCGGCGATTCCGATCCTCCGGCGGCAGCTGCAGCCGCCAGTTTGGCCCTCGTATTGGCGGCTCCTGCTCCGCTGCTGCCCAGGGAATCGAACATTGAGGACAGGGCGTTCAGCGAGTCGCTGGGATACTTCTTGTTGCCCTCCGAACTGCCGTCGTAGGACTTGTGGCTGGAGGCTGGTGACTTTGGTGTGGCTGATCTCTGACTCTCGGCGGGACTGCGGGGCGGTAGCAGCCGGGTCTGGGGACTGGCTGCCGATGACGGTGTCTTCGGGGAGCTCCTCTCCACATTATTGTTATTATTATTATTTGTGGCACTGCCATTGACCAGAGTGGCCTCCATTTTTGAGGACTCCTCGCCTTCATTTTGCTCATCGGCAAGCTCAGACTTAATCTCCATTTTAATGGGCTCCGATTCCAGCTCCTGCTTGATGGCCGGCTTGGAAGGCTCCTCCTCGTGACCTGCTGGCTGCTGCTGCTTCTCGGGCGTCGGGGCATCCAATCTCGGCCTGGCCTCCGCACTGCACTCGCTTCCGCTCCTTTCGCTACTGGTGTACCTGTAGTGCTGATAGTACGGATCATTCGTATCGATCAACGGCTTGTTGTAGTCCACCGTCTCGTCGATTCCAAGTCGCTTCAGTATGCTGGAGGCCACGGGCGAGGTGTTTTTGGTGGAGGAGTTGGAGGGACTGCTGGCTGGGAGGCTGGCGTGTCTGGGTGGCGTATCGAAGCTGGTGGTGAACATCTGCTCGATGGCGCTCAGCACGGAGGAGGCCCCGGGAGCCTTGGCACTGCCATTCTTCTGCTCCACCAGCTCGGGGGATTTGTTTTTGGCCAGCAGTTGAGCAGCAGCCACTTTGGCCATTTCTTCGGGCGACTTCACCCCCGTAATATACTGCCGCATGCGCTCGGCAAAGAGAGCGGCATCGTTTTTATCACCTCCACCAGGTCCCAAACCGGGTTTTCCTTGCACCGCAGACTTTTCGTTCGCCAGATCGTCCTGGTTTCCACCCGCTCCACCCTTCATCTCCAGCAGTTTCCTCACTGGCAGCGATTTCTCGCGCTTCTTCGGAGCCGGTCGCTTTCGGGCACCCGCCGATTGGAGAAGCGGCTCCGCGTAGTGGTTGTTCTTGGCCATGTGGTTGCTCAGATCCCCCAGCGAACTGAAGGCCTTGTCGCACACCTTGCAGGTGAGCACTGCGCTGAGGGTGCGACTCTCCTCGGAGCTCAGGCTGTTGTGGCTCTCCTTGGCATCCGAGTTCGCATTGGCATTCGCCGATTTGATGGAGATGCTCTGCTCCTGCGACAGGATGTTCGTGTAGTGCTGCGTCTCCTGCATGTGCTTGGTCATCTCGCCCAGCGAGCGGAAGCTCTCGCCGCAGCGCATGCACTTGAGGATCTGCATGGCCTGCTCCACGCCCTTGCCCAGCCAGACATTCTGGCCTCGGACCAACTTGCGGGGCAGCGGCGTGGGCGGATCTCCGCGATACTGGAAGGCGTTCTTCACGTTCGCCGAGGGCGAGTGATTCGAGCCGCTTCCCGAGCTGTGCTTTCGCAGGTTATGGTTCTGCGGCGGTGGTGGGGGAGCCGGGTGCTGGTGGTGGTGCTGCGGCTGGGGATTGTTGCTCGGCAGATTGCCAAAGGGCGGCACATTAACGCCGCAATGCTTGCTGTCCTTCATGTGGGTGGTGAGGGCCTCCAAAGTGGGGAAACTCTGCTTGCACCACACACACCTGAAGACCGAGCTGGCCACCCCCTTGTTCTGCCAGTGCGACTGCCAGATGTTGTGCCTGGCCTTGGTCACTCCACCGCCAGCTGATCCGGATCCCGATCCTCCTCCCCCGGTTTCGGAACTCTGGTTCGACGGCGGTTGCACCGGACTCTTGGGCGGCTGAGCTGCTGCCTGCGGCGGCGTGGCCTTCTTCTCCTTGCTGCCCATTCCACTTCCTCCGCCCTTCACAATATCGGACATCTTCTCGAGCGGATCCACCACCAAGTCGTTCTTGCCATTCCAGTCGGGAAACTGTCCGGCTCGGAAGATATTGGCAGCCGCCACGGCCGCCAGATATGGATTGACTCCCGGCAAAAGCTGGCTGGCCGAGGGCGAGGCCACGGGATTCGCGGGCGGGCTGTCCGACTTGAACATCTTCTTCACCTGGATGTGGCCCAGTTGTGGCTCCGATTCGTGGCCCCGCTTCCGGGTGCCCACAGAGAGATCGAGCGGATTGTTGGCCCCATCGTCAAACTCCTCCTCCTCGCCCTCGGAGGCCGGAGGCTCGGCCGACTCCGCGCGCCCGTAGAGATTGGTGCGGAAGTCCAGGGCCTCCGAGTTGTTGCTCGATGCGGTGGGCGATGCCTGCGGGGGCAGTTTGAACGGAGCCGCCGCCTCGTTCGCCAGTGGGAGTGGCAGGCGTGGCCCCGCCCCCGCCGCTGCGGCTGCGGCCAAGGGGAATCCGTACTGCTGGGCGGCCGCGGCCACCATGTGCAGGTACGCCTCCATCGAGGGCGGCTGGGCGGGCAGGGACTGCGGCACCGCCGGGAATGTCGAGTGCAGGTTGCTGGGCACCACGCCGGGCATCACTCCGGCGGACAGGGCTGCGGCGTCCATCCGATGACCCCCTCCGCCGCTGCCGCCGCCGCCACCACCACCGCCGTTGTCCGACGAGTTGGAGTCGTGCGAAGGACACCGCTCGCTGGAATTCGCCGACTCCGTGGAACGGGGACGAGCTGTGGGCAGGGCTCTGGAAATAAAAAGATGGGGATATTATTAATTAAAGGTTTTATATTTAAAATTTAATAATAAATTAAAAATATTATCTACTTCGAAGGTTAAAAGTCTCTTATTCTATAGTTTAGTATAATGATGTGACTCAAATTACTCCCTTATTGAAAGTATTATAAGTATCCTCTAAACCAAAAATAACCTTTATGAGTTAACAAACACATTTTAGTCCCAATGAATAATTGAGAATGAATTTAGAACTGTTCTGCATTTGACTTGCTACAATAAAGCTGTTCATTAGTAATAATATCTACTTTGAAGGTATAAAGTCACTAACTAACAAAGCTAATAGCTAATACTCTTATTCAATAATTTAGTATAGCGATATGTTTCAAATTATAGCCTTATTATAGGTATCCTCTAAACAAAAAACAACCTTTATGAGTTAACATACCCATTTTAGTCACAATGAATAATTGAGAATGAATTTAGAATTGTTTCGCATTCGAGTTACCAACAATAAAGCTGTTCATTAGGCCCTAATCAGCAATCTATCAATCCTCAATAGCTTAATAAAGCCAAGATCCAATCGATAAGACTTTCTCTCTCCCCCTTTCGCCACCAGACTTTCACAGACCAAACTTTTCTAAGGTCGGGCGAACCGGTAGATAAGCAATCAAGAGCATTGGAAATCTTTATAGCTCGGTTTATATTTCGCTTCGGTCTGTGCTAAATCATTCGCCGGCCAGGGGAACCCACAATGCCAACAATGGCAAACATATGTCAACATTTCGATTTGTTATTCAAATCTCAGAGCGCCATAAAGCAAAGGCGAGATACAAAAAGTATAAAAAGCACAACAAAAAATGGAACTCTGTCGCAGCCAGCTGTGTTTTAGTCGGATCTTCCCCTCCCCCGAGGGTCGTAAAAATCTATATGGAACAATGGCGTTTAATTCGAGATGTTAGGCGTGAGTTATGAGCAAAGCCGATCATAATCGGCATCCGAGATGAGATGGGATGAGATCCGAATATTTGACAAACTCGGCGGCAATTATCATTTGGCTGGGCAGCCACAAATTCCACATAGTTTGCATAAATTAATTGGCCAGCTCATAAATGTGCATAAATAGAAGAAATAAATAAAACAAATTTTATTGCCTCGCAGAGCAGAGAAACCCCGAAAAAATAATAAGGGAAATGATTTGCCAACCGAGGAGAAAAGAAACCAAAACGCTCGAATTTATTTCCTTGATTTGTTCGAGTGTGTAACATTCAAATTGAAACCATATATAATTTTTATAGCTCCCATTGTTTGCTTTGAAAATATTTCACAGAAACATAATTCTGCGGCTTTCGTGTAGCTTGTTTTGAATGATTGTCTGATTGACTTTGAAGTATATGCAAAATGTTATAAATTTTTGATGATTAGCTCTATATAATATTTGTGTGTTTCTGCGTGTGGGCGTTGTGTGTTTTGGGTTTTTTCTTGGCGGAGGGGGGGATTTTACGACTAGTCGGGGCGGAAATAGCTGAACTTGATCAATAACAAAGAGTTAATGTGGCTCGATTTGAATGGGAATGGGAATGCGAATGGAGTATCGTAAAATCGGTCTTGTTTGCCCAACGAGTCGGTGGTTGGTTGTCAACAATTTGTCATGTGCTATTGTTCGACAAGCGATCGCTCAGCGAAAAACTAACTTCTTAACCAGGCATTAAGTTGTTCGATTCGGAGGAGGTTTGTCAAAAAGGCAGTTCGCCTTTAATTGATGGATAGTACACAACAGATCCCGGCTAGCGCAATATTGATGGGACCTTAAGGAACGTCGAAACAAAATCTGATTCATGTGCAGCTTACTTGGAACTCAGTCACCTGCCAGGTGACAGCATATCAAAGATAGTTATTACACACACAGTGCGATCGCTCACCGCTAATTAGCTATCCAGATGGCATGGGGCGATTAGGCCCGCATACAAAGCATTTTTCCCCTTTTTATACCCTTGTAGAGGGTATTATAATTTCAGTCAGATGTTTGCAACGCAGTGAAGGAGACGTTTCCGACCACATAAAGTATATATATTCTTGATCAGCACCAATAGCCGAGTCTATCTAGCCATGTCCGTCTGTCCGTCTGTCCGTTTCTATGCGAACTAGTCTCTCAGTTTTAAAGCTATCGCGATGAAACTTTCCCGAAAGTCTTCTTTCTATTGCAGGTAGTACATATGTCGGAGCGAGCCGGATCGGACCACTATATCTTAAGGCTCCCATAGGAATATTGAAACATATATAAGAATATTCTTGTTAATTTGTAGGAAGTAGGCGTTTTAATTCTTGACTACTAAAAAACAAAATTCAAAAATAGGAACACTTAATCTGGAATCCCTGGAACTGCACCGAGTGAGTATTACTTTATCTGCAAGGGTATATAAGCTTCGGCTGGCCGAAGGTAGCTTCCTTTCTTGTTTTTGTTGTTTTTTCTAGTATGAAATACTTGGCAACAAGTTTTCCCCGCCAGCATATCATAATCTGAAATCTCGTTATTCGATTAAGCTTAAATCAAAATGATTTATAAGCAACTCCTGCAAGTGCAGTTAATTACAAGTTGAAATGTCTCATTAATAATCGAGAGAGTTGCAGGTTGATATGCATCTATAAAGCGAACAGTGGGTTTATTATCAAGTAGGCTGAAAATATTAGGGGAGTTCTTTAGCCCTGATAAGATACATGATTTTATTAACATTCTAAAATTGTTTAACAATTATAATTTTAACTGGTTTTAGTACATTACCATCTTTAAGTTTCCAAATATCACCTTATGTAACCCACTGTATTTGGTAAACAAAAACTAAGGCATGACTAATCAGTAAAGGTAACAGAGTAAATATTACTAAACTCGCACACAAACACACGCACAAATCAGCGGCAAATTGTGAACATAAATCTTTCCCGTAATAGGCACACACACACGAGGAGAAAGGTGGAGAAAGGGGGGTAGAGCGGAAAAGATGGCAAGCAGAGCGTAGCGAATTTTGAGTTTTTCACTTTTCGCATGATTTATTCAGTTCGGCTACGTCATCGGCTTGGAAAATCTTGAAAATTCACATGCAAAGCGACCGAAAGCGAGACAATTTGTCGCACTTTATTAGTAATACCCCCTTATGCACCCCCTAAATACCTCGAAAAACCCGTTTTTAGCCCGCCACTAATTGTGCTCAGGTTCTCAGACTCGAGTGCGAGTGCAAAAATGTATCTCAAACTTGTTTAATCATAATTTCATAGGCACTCGCGGATACAGATACACAAACGCTCACACAAATTAATAGCCCAAAGATAGATCATCGAATTTATGCCGATTTTTCTGTTTGATTTCGTGTACTATCCCCCCACCACTCCCCTGTTTTTCCATTACAAATCAAGTTTTTCGTTACACTGTTTGTTCTTGTTTTTCGGGGGTTCTGGTTTTTCCGTTCTAAAGGGTGGGTGCTGTTGTGATATATGGGCCGCGCTATTGGCGTGGGGCTGAATTTATAACGACAGGTGTGCGACGACGTCGGGGACGGCCAATGCCAATCATCAAATGCTCTCGGTTCTCAGTTCTCGACTATGAAATCATAATTTCTTGATATATTTATTTGGCCGATTTGGCCGAGAGTCTAAAGTAATATTTTAATGGGCCATTCAACAATTTCGGCTATCGGCATGACACAACGGAAAGTTGGCGGGAAGGTCTTTCTTTCGAATAAAACCACTCTGTGAGTGCTGTTCTATTTGCGGATGATTAATGGTGTGGAGTGTGATTTTAAAATATAGGCTGCTTCTGCAACTAACAAGATGCTGTATAAATTCATACGAGATGTGTACAAATATAAACTTGTGATTGAGATATTATAAATGGAATACAAAAGTGAATAATTCGAAATAAATTCATATATTTTATATATTTCACAACATTTTTTGGTTGCCTTTTATGTACAGAAGAGCGTATACAATTAAATAGTTATTTTTCTGCAACTCAATTTTGGTGTTTTTAGAAGTTTTATCAAAAATATATCTCTGCAAAGCTTACGATTCAAGCTGAAAACCCTCTGTATCTAATCATCTGTACTGATTGAAAACAAACATATGCCATCTAAAGTCAAGTCTAAATTACTTTTACCTCTCTAAAATATCTCAACTTAATTACTAGTTTTATAGGGATTATTTTCACAGATGAGAACACTTACCCGGCATTTAGCGCCTGTCTGTAGATCTCGAGCATCAGAGCCTCGTGCAACATATTTAAATTTTGCTGAATTTTGACGATTTGCGGGAACTTGGTTGGTTTTGGGTTTGTTTTTTAGCAACCTACAAGGTTTGCTGGCGTTTTAATTTTGGAACTTAACTTTAGTTTGACACAATATTCATAAAATTTGTTTGTTTGGTTTTTACTTTGTTTTGCACTTGGTACGTTGTCGTATAGAATTTTTGTTGTCGTAGCGTATAACTTTGTTTAATTTGTGTTTAGTTTAAATTTATAAATTTTCATATGGCAGACAAAAATGACGTTAAATATTTGTTTTGTTTTTGTTTCGAGGCGTTTGTATTTCGTATTTTGTAACTTGTGTGTTGTGTGGGGTTTAAATTTAATTTAATAATTGCATTGAATCGTATACTTCGTTTAGGTTTGTTGATTTAAGTAACTGGTTTACATAATGTATGTAAGTGTAATTTTGGTGAGCAAAATACCGTTTAATATAAATATTCGTAATAGTTTATCTTTATCTTTAATTTTAGTTAATAAATATATTTGTTGTGGTATATCTTTAATTTGTGGTTGTTTTACGTATACTTTGTTGAACCATTTGTGGGGCTTTAGTTGTTACTCGTGCGTGTGTTTTTTTTTATTCAGTCTTGATCGAGCATTTTCGTTCGAGAGTTTTCTTGGATTTTCCTTGTGACTAGATATGATGGCGGCTGCTCCTCGGAAAATACTCGTCTCCTCTATCAACTCGTATCACACTAAGTATTTCAGTATCTTAATATCTCAATATTCTGGCGGAACACGCGTTTCGCGATGTGCGTGTGTCTGGTCTTTCATCCGGATTCCGGCGTTACTCGAGTGAATGTCCAAATGCGAATGAGCGTGCGAAGGCGAATGAATTCTGCTGGCCGGGTTCTTTCGTCACTACCTCGGCCGCTGCCGCTGCGCTGCTGCTGCGCTGCCGCTGCTGTCAAACTGACAAACAACAACGATGCGCTGCCGCTCTGCCGCCGCTGATTGATACGGATGAAAATGGAAACGGAAAAGGGAAAAAAAGACGGCGACGGACGCGGACGCGGACGGGAAGTGCAGCGATTGGAAGCTGCGCTGCTTTTGACGAGCGAACACGAAGCGCGCGATTTTGGCGACGGCAATTTCTGATTCGATTTTGCGTCCAGGCGACGGCTGCGCAGTTGTGTGTGTGCCGTGTGCTGTGTGTGTGCCACCCACACACTCGCAGGACAGCTGGCTGTCAGCGTGATTAAATGTGCTGCTGTCTCGCTCGCACGCGCCGGCTGCGCTGCCCTCGGCTAATTAATTACCGTACGATTTTTCTAAAACGCCGCGCGCTGAGCTTTTCCCGTGATCGTTCGCTCGTACGCTCGCACGCTGTAACGGTTCAAAATTGAATGAGAGAAAGAACCGAAATGGGATTCCCATTGCCAGCCGTGTGGCTGGGAGAGCGAGAGCAGCGGCCGAGAGCGAGCGCGCAGCCGCCGCGCTCTCTTTTCCCCTGCGCGCCAATTGGAATTGTTTACACGCGAACGCCTGGAACTGGAACAGGGGAAATCGCTCCCCAGCGAGAGAGCGCGCTGCCCAGTCGCCCCGTCTTGCTCGCACTGAAAATGTGTGAAATCTGCTTTGTCGTTTTTCGTCACCCTTCTTCTGCTGCCTTTGTCCCTCTATTCCGATTCCATCACAATTAAGATTTATGACAGTTCAAAACAAATTCTCTCGCTCGCATGCGCCGTCCCGCTCGCACACATTCAAATTTCCTGCCGTCCCTGTTTTTCGTTTTTCCTTTGAAAAACAAACAGTAGTTGTTGCTTTTTTTGAGCTTTTCGTCCTCGTCACTTTGAGTGCTCTGCCCTCTCGCTCTCTCCACTCCCCGCCGCCACGCTCACCACTGTCAACTTTTGTTCGCTTTTCTGCAGCTTCTTCGTGGATTTCGCTTCACTTGACATGTCAGTCTCGCTGTTTTCCTTTTTTCCGACTCTTTTGTTTCGTTGCATCGCCGTGCGAGCGAGACGGAACGGGAGCGACAGAGAGGGTGCGAAAAAGAGGTAAAAGGGTTGGGGGTGGATTCCCGAGCGTTTTTCACTTGGAAACAACTTTTTCCACTTTTCTTTTTGGGTGCGAAAACAATTAAATTAGCGACACTTCGGCCGTTTGGTTAACTGAAAATCTGCGAAAGGCCACAATTTTATGAGCTCGAGTGCTGGGAAATTCCTCTCGCCAAAGTTGATGGAAATCAGTTTTTTTCATTTGAATTCTACACACAAAAAAATTTGCTTGGTAAAATTGACCAACAAAGATAGTTACGTAACTATTAAAATAGTTACGTGTATTTTGTTTTTGCTTTGGGTTTGTGTCTTTGCTAATTGTGTGTATTTTGTTGTTGTGAAATGACAATTTACTTAGTAGAATTGACAATTTTGCTGGTTGGGGCCTGTTTGACAATTATTACAGTTGATTTTACCAAGTTTTTTTTTTGTGTGTACCGTTAAATAAATTAAAATAATCTCTTGCTTTTTAAACACTTTATAACACAATTAAAATATTATTTTTACCACAAAAAATTTGCATTATTTTTCACAAAGTCTAAGGACTAAAAAAAACATGACTGTCATGTTTTAATTCACGGTTTTTTACCAAGATTTTTTACCATAAATGTAAACACTAAAAAAATAGTAAAACGGTGCCCAACCACAGAATTGTCAATCAATAAGTTACTCTCACAACAACAACATGCACACAACTGACTCTTTCATGGTAGTTTTACTACACACAAAAAAAAAACTTGGTAAAATCAACTGTAATAATTGTCAAACAGGCCCCAACCAGCAAAATTGTCAATTCTACTAAGTAAATAGTCATTTCACAACAACAAAATACACACAATTAGCAAAGACACAAACCCAAAGAAAAAACAAAATACACGTAACTATTTTAATAGTTACGTAACTATCCTTGTTGGTCAATTTTACCAAGCAAATTTTTTTGTGTGTATTAAACAGTACTCAAAGCAAAAACGAAGTACTATTTTTAATAGTAGAATACCTTTTTTTATAGCTATGTAACTATCCGTATAGGTAAATTTTACCAATACAACTGGTTTGTGTGTACACACAAAAAAATTTGCTTGGTAAAATTGACAAACAAAGATAGTTGACTATTTACTTAGTAGAATTGACAATTTTGCTGGTTGGGGCCTGTTTGACAATTATTACAGTTGATTTTACCAAGTTTTTTTTTTGTGTGTAGGAAATGTATAATGTTAACTCGGAGCAAAACGAGTAAAAAGTTGTGGCGGATCCACGATTTAGTTGTAGGTGAGAATTTCAAAAAAAATATTTCTTGTATACTTTTTACCACCCGATTTCCGTTCATATCTCAGGAGGGGGCTTATCCCCCAAATTAGTTCAATTAATTTATTTAGATGGAGTAAGTAATAAAGCACTACAAAATTTTTTTTCTTTTAAATGTTTCCAAAGAAAGGATAAACTGCTGCGTAAAATTTTTGGTGGGTTACCTCAAAGAAGTTTTGAAGTTGTACGTCATAAATTATAATTAAACTTTTGTGCAGTAATAATTTATAATTTATAATATTACATTAAAAAAAATTTATTTAGCATAAAAGCCAACAATATTTGTTGATTTTTGATCGATAAATTGTAAGTGTCAAATATATTTAGAGAATTGGAAACAACATTAATAGACCTTAATACATTATTTTTATAAGTAACACTATTTAATTCAATTTTCTTCGGTCTTTTAATGACTTTGTAAGACAAAAGTTGTAATAAATTAAAAATGTATTTTAAATATCATCCTTAAATTCTTATAATTTTATAAATTAGGATAAAATGATTTGATAAATATCAATATTACCTTAACCATGTAAATATTAGTAAATAAAATAGTTTCTTTGAAAACTAAAAATAAAAAATTAATTTTAATTAAGTTTGGAATCAAACATATTCCATTTCCAGTTTTGTTGGCATTTCCGCGGTTATGGTCCATTAGTGGTTCTGGGCGAAAAGCTTACATTATCCGGACTTTAAGGCCGGCCATAGTTGACGAATGCCTGGTGCAGCCATAAAAGTGGCCATCACCGGCGATACTTGAGTGGAAATGGTGGACGGCTTGTCCGCCTCTTCAGCTTATTTGCCGCTGATTTTATTGATCACTGGCTCTGCGGCCAATGGGGAATCCTCGCTGCACTTGTTGCTCCCAAAAACGGGCTCACTTAAAGGCTGGGGAACGAATCGTAAAAGTTTTTACGATCCACCAATTAACCGATAATAATCAAATCACTTGGAACCACTCGAGCGGGAAGGAGAGAGGTAATGAGGCGGGAGCAGCCATTGCTTCTGGGGCTCCATCATCATCATCCTCATCAGAATCAGAATCCTCGGGGTCCCTGGGGCAATAAATACTTTTACGATTCTATAATTTGATTTGGGCATTTTTATTTAATATTTCTTCTTCTCCATACACTGTGACAGAGAGATCTCATCGCGATGCCCGTCTTTTCCCTCTATCTATTTTGCCGCGGCACATTAATTTTTTATGTGTTCGATCGTTAAAATTCGTTTGATAAATTATTGTTTGGAATTCGATGCTAAAGGTATCCGCTGGATACGCAAGCATCCATGAGCATCAAGTTTTGAGGTTTAAAGGAATTCGGAATATTTTATAAGACCACAAATCTAGTTTCTAAGCTTCCATTTTATAAACTTGCATTTTAAATATTTTTTTATGTGTAAATAATGCTTAGCTTTGAAACCCTCCTAATCCCAAAGATCTTTAGAAAAGGTTAATTATTTAATTAAAACCACTTTTACTATGAAAATAAATATTATTGTGTTTCAGAATGCAATAAAAATAGTTTTATAGGATTTTCAAATAATTATTAAATTCTTATAAATTTGTAAAATACATATTTTATTATTATTAACTACAATTCTACAATAATGACCCAATTTTAGGGCTGATTTTATCTTCTAGTATTAAAAAGTTTAAAAAATTTAAACACTTTCTTTTAATCAATCCAAATACACCGCAAATACAAATGGCAAACAATTAATTTAATGAGCGAACACAGACAATCAAGAGCTTAAAAACTCATCAAGCGTGTGCTAAAATTCATAAGGAAAAAATTAAAAATGCAAAATTAAGAACAAGAATATAATGCGAATTATCAAAGTCTTTGGTGAGCGGCATTCGTCATTGTCCGAGTGTCAACGCTTCCGTTTCAGTCCAATTTCGGTGGCTGGTCGAAGAGATGACAACAAAGCAGATCGGTCGGACCTATACGATATATAGTATAAGATATTATTCGCCCACGAAGTCTGCCATGAGTTATTTCGCAGCGGCGTTGTCAAATGGAACGATTCTGCTCAAGATTTTGATCGCGGCAGTGCCTCGGATTTATTTTTAATGGAAGATTTCATGGGGCCGAGGGATTAACTCTTTCAACCGACGCCATCCAATTTTGAATTATTAAGAGACGTAAATCTCGACCAACAAAAGTCAGCTAAAGCTGAAATATTACTTTGATGAGCTGCGGAATATGCGGCGTATACATATACATTATAATGATCCATAAAGCGATCCACGTGTGGGTTTGTCAAAAACATTTTTGGGCGCTTCGATAAACTAAAATCTCGAATCGATTGCGAAACTCGTCTGCGAAATTATTTTTTTGATCAATATTTATTCATTCGATAAATCAATCAAATAAATTACAATTAACGAAAAGTCATAAAAATGAATGGCACAAAAAGCAGGCAACGAATAAATTCGATATGAATATGAGAAATCAAAAAGCGCCAGGCCAGAAAAAAGAAGACAATCGAAAGAGAGACACATAAAAGTTTAAGAAGTTGTTAATTATAAATGTGAAATTTATAGCGCCACTCTTGGCTAGAAAAATTCCACAGATTGATCATTGGAGCTCTCCAAACGACGCTCGATGACAACTAGAAATCCAAATCTGGTTTCGTTTTGGCCCCAGGTTCGTCTTGATCAAAGTGTATTTTTTAATAGCCAAAAACCGAACAATTCGG